CTCACAGGCTATGAAGTGAGTCTGAGTCTGAGACAGTCCACTGAGTCTCCATAACTACATAGCTACAATTAAAAATAATACATAGTTACTGTCCAAGTCTCAAACTCACATTCAAACCTTTTGAACAAATTTAAACTTAACTTCACCTACCATTACCAAAATCAAGTCCCACCCACCTACCATTCAATTTAAGTCTCACCAACCACTAACATTCAAGTCTCGCCTACCAATACTATTCAAGTCTCCATGGGCGGGTATGGGCTTCGGCAGGCTTCAGGCTTCGGGTATGTGGACGGGTATGAGGCTGGTTATTGGGCGGGTTATTGGGTCGGGCTTCGATTTCAGGCAAGGTTTCGGACCGGGTAGTGGGTTTAGGAGTAAACACAAACCCTTTTTAAAGGATACTAGGCTCGAGCTCGGACGGGCCAACTATCGGACTTCAGACCTATTTTTTTGAGGCAGGGTAATGAGACCCGTGGATAACCCGGCCCATGGACACCCCTACTTGTATAAATAGGTAATACTGGGGCAATCTATAGGCAGAGAGTCCTTGGTCGGATTTGTATATTTCTTGTATTGTTTGAACAATAATATAAGGTTAGGGAGTGTTTTCCATGTACATCATGTGTTGCTTGTCTGTGTTTGTGTGCCCTTTTACGAGTTAGAGTGACTGGTTGTTGAGGCATCACCTTCACAGGTGGCCTCTTTCATGAAAAAGGTTACAAATAGGAAGTTACCACGTCACACAAATATATATTGTTGTTAGTGGTGTTCATGCGGAGTCCTTATGTGATAAAACAATGATAACAAATATGGTATAGGATGAAAATATGTCATTGTAAAAAATCATGGCTAGCAACCGTGATGGAATGGATTGGAAAGGACACTCCAAGCCCATCCAACCAAAATTTTAAAACTAGCATGCCCTTAGGGGTGCTTAGTTATGAATATATGATGGGATTAGGAAATTGGCTCTAATTCACTATACAAACGGTAGTAATGAAATTTTTTTTTTTATTATTATATTTCATTTTTCTGAAATTTGGTTCAATGTGGGGGATGAGATGGGGGTTCAATTTGATAATACCAATACTATGTTTGAACTTGAGATTAAGAAATGATAACAAGTTGAAAAGGACGAAAGTACCCTTGCATCTTTTCCCATCCAATTAAGTCTAAATTATTTTGGTCATTTTCTATTCGAATAACAACCGAGATTAATTTTATACTACGAATCCCATGCATCCGATTTGTACTATGTGGTGTTAATCATCTTGGTCTGACAGTCACTTCTGGACATTCCAAAAATGTACAGCTTCTGTATGGATGGCTTAGGATCTAAGTCGTGGAAAAACATGCACCTTCGATTTGTTCTCCGCTATGAAAATTGCAGCTGTTTTCTATGCCTATGCCAAATACGTCTTCATCAAGCTTTTGTCCTGCCAATGTTCATTATTAACTTTCATGTGGCATCTCAACTCTTCCAACTCTGTCCTGAGGCTGGTTTTTGTTTTTTTTTCAAATTTCTTTGCCACCCTACCCTTTTCATTTTGTTCTAAGCGCATCACATTAGGGAAGTGTCGAACCGGACCATGGTTAGTTTAGAGGTCAACCTGAGCGCGATGTGTCGAGTCCCATTAACTACAAAAAATCATATTGTGACCGAAACAAATGATTTATGGGTAATTATTTGCATCCGAGACTAATGTTATAACCGTGAATAAAAAATATGAACGGTTCTCGTTGCACAAAAGGAAAAAAAAAATGGACAAGCTGAAAAAAAAAAAGAAAAAGGAACTCCATCACTGTATAATCAGAAGCAAAGGTTTAGGATAGTGATGGGGATGTTGAGATCATTTTGCTTAGGGCCCAAAAGGGTATAAAAATCAGATGGCTGGCGATGTCTCCAATGACAGCCAACCATCAGAAGTTTTCTCTCCATCTGTTTTATCTCTCCAACCACCAGAACTTCATATGTTGCTTATTGAACTTTATAGAGACTCCAGCCAACTATACCTTAGTGAGGAACCAAGATACCACATTTCCACCAATATTCCCAGGTATTTTTCTTTGGGTATATGTTCTGGTACATAACTGGAAGCTGCAGCAACCTTCTTGTTTCTGTTCTTACTAGTACACATTCTATTCACTCTGAAACTGGTTTCATTTGATAACAGAGGGAAGTTTGATTTTCTAACATAGAAAGAAAACCTCATTTTTTTTTTCCTTGAAAGAACCTCAAATTTCTGTCTTCTGGTTATATTAAGAGTTTGAACACACCCACAATTTAATCTACTGTAATTGTTTACTATTTGAGTGTGAAAGTGAATTCTTCTAATTATGTGAGTGCGAAACAGCTTGAAATGGATGGAGGAGATATGAATAGCAGGAGGAGAGTTGGATCAGTTAAAGAAGCCATTAATTTGTACAGAGGAAAATTTTCTGAAGGGAATTCTGCACTGGAAAAGTCCCAAATGAATTTTCCAGAGGTAAACTTGAAAGAACAATGCAAATCCCTTGTACCATTAATGGTTAAAGTTAGAACTCATATGCATGTCTTGGATGATTTTTCTTATTTATTTCTTTTAAAACAAAATTGTGTTGTTTGTCTGATGATATGTCTCATATTGCTGAAGCCCTCTGCAAGAACGAGAGAGTTTCGTCTTGCACGGAGAGCCATCGGGCGACTCAATGAGAATCAAAAAATTGCAGAATCAGTAAAAGCCAGAGCAGAATCCGAACTACTTGATGCAAGGGAGACCGTGAGAGATCTAAGTTTAAGAATTGAAGAATCAAATTCAAGAGCAAAATTGCAGCTTCCTGACGGGGAAAAACTGCAGAAGCATAAAAGCAGCGCAGAAGAAGGGGAATTGTCTATTGGGAACACTAAGGACTATCGGTATGCAGAAGTGATGAGGGAACTGAAATATGTAAAACAGGAACTGAGCAAGCTTAAACTTGACATGGCTTCTATTTTAGAAGAGAAAAGGCAAGCAGAGAAGGAAACTGAAGCCTCAAGTTCAAAATTGCGGTCTTACTCAATCTCAGTTGAAGCACTTACGAAAGAAATTGAGGAACTTAATGAGGAGCAAGTGTTGGTCGAGTTGGCTCGAATAGAAGCTCTTAAAGAATTTGGGGTCATTGAAGATCAGAGAAAAGAAGAAGCTAAGCAATACTCATCTGCCATGGAGGAAACAAGGAAGAACATGAATGACATCATCCAAGAGATTGATCGCTCGAAGGAGCTTGAATTAAAGCTGGCTGTTACAAATTCTGATGTCAATGTGCTACAGAGTGAACTAAGGCAAATTAAAGAAATGGACAAAAGGATTCAAAAACATGAGAAATTGAAGAATCAGGAGGATGGTCATCAAAAAGGAGGGGAATGGGAGAGTTCATCTTTGTTACAGTCAGTTACAGAAGAATTGGAAGCTGCGAAGAAAGAGTTAGCTTCCATTAGAGAAGAAGGTTTTCAATTCATGGCCTCCATGGATATCGTTAGACACGAACTCAAGCATGTCTCAGAAGAAACAGCTCAACTAAGGAAAACCGAAGAGAAAGCTGATCTAACCATTCAAGATCTCAATTCCAAGCTCCTCAGGGCAAAAACCAAATTGGAAGCTGCATCTGCGGCTGAAGAAAACGCCAAATCAATCGTGACAAATTTATCCCTCACTCTTGAACAATTAAATGCAGAAGCTGAGGCAGCCAAGAAAGAGAAGGTACTTACAAGCGAAGAAACCTCAAATGTCAAGGCAGAAGTTGAAAAAATTGAGTCTGAAATAGACTTAGCTGAGGAAAGGTTACAAGCTGCAATGCAAGAGCTTGAGGCAATCAAATCATCAGAAGCAATAGCTCTTGAGAATCTAAAAGTACAAACAGAGATTACAATGAGAGCTAGAGCTCCGGCTTCTGAACATACCTCCAAAATAACTATCTCAAATTTTGAATACGAGTACTTAAGAGGACGTGCAGTTGGAGCTGAAGAAATTGCAGATAAAAAGGTTGCAGCTGCTCAGGCTTGGATAGAAGCTTTAAAGGCGAGTGAGAAGGAGCTACAGATGAAAGCCGAAATAGCTCAAAGAGAGATCAGAGAGTTAAGGGTGGAGGAAGAGAAAGAGCTCTATAGAACAGAGAAGTCACCAACTGCAAAGAGACTGGTTGAAAATGAGAGACACAGTCGGTGGCAAAAGCATGAGAAAAACTTGGAGCCTGAAAATTTGCAGCGTAAGGTAACACTGCCTAGAAAATCCACAAATAGAAATGGAACTGCAACCCCAGCAAGACAAGCAAAGTTTCAGAAGTCTGCTTCTCCTGCAGCTCGGCATTTGCCTCGATCAACTTCTGTCACAATGAGAAGGAGAAGAAGGGTAATGCCAAGTATAACCAAGTTCTTCAGTAACAAGAGGAGTGAGAGGAATGTGTAAGCCATTCAAAGAGTGTTGGAGTTTTGATGTGTTGATAAGGAAGTCCTGTGAAATAATTTAGTCTAGGAAATTTGCAGTTTTTACTCTCAACTTCGATAATCAAGCACTTGCCTTCTAAGTTTGAGTTTGTTTCTGTGATTAACAATAAATGCAGTGTGTGAGGAATACATTGATATAAAGAATAAAAACTTATATTTTACTTCTCTTTCAAGTATTACCATCTCCCGACCTCCCCCCTCCCTGTGTCTGTGTGTGAAGTGGTGGGAGAAAAGACCCGGGGGAGGGGGGGGGGAATCTAAAACTCCCCGTGATTCGCTCACCAGTGCATGTTAAATGTGCAACAGAGGAGTTATGAATTTGGGGGAAATTTGGAAAAATCCTGAAAAATCATAGCAATTCGACTGGCCAATTCCCTATATTGGAAACTGCATCTCATTAGTCGTCAGTCTGTGCACCTTCCAACTCCGTTGACCAACTTACAAGCACTTGGTACAGGGGGATAAAAGTTCTCATATTGGATGAATACCTGACTCATGGGCAGAAGTGCAAGATATACACCAAACAATCACAAATACATTATGAAACATTTCAGTTTTGCCGATTACATGAAACCATAATGTGAGGAAAAGCTTATAAGGAAAAGGACAAAAAATATATATATAAGATTCCTTTTATTTCATCGCAAAAAGTGAAAACCCCAAAAACCAAACCCAATAGATGAAAATACATATATAGTGAAATAAACAGAAACTCCCTACCAAACTTCTTTCATCCGAGCCAAGTTCCTCATTGCGGCTGTTAGGTTCCGACCTATTGCTTAAGGTTGTCTGTGTGAAGCTTTGTCAAAGCCTCAGATAAAAGTACTGCTGTCTTTGTCATGGTTTGATACTGTGGCAGCAATGCAGGTGCTGGAGGTTGACTTTTATATATCTGAGCATATGTAAGATCATCATCAAATTCATCGTCGTAATTAGCCACCGCCACCGAAGCAGTGGCAACAAGCAGGGAGGAATCGTAAGACTCTGGAGGATTCACTAATTGTTGATTCTGGATTGAAGGTACGTTAACAAGTGGTGTTGCTGCTGGGGCTGTCCTGGAAACTGCTGGTTCAGGTATTGGTGGAGCTGCAGTGACCTCTTTATCAACTACTGGGGAAGTGATCATGGCACTAGGGGGATGCAAAGGGGACCGACCAGAAGCAATAGTTGCAGTGTAGATTAAATTACCTTGTGTGGGCATATTGTAAGTTTGTGAAGGCCTTATTGGGACCAAGTAAATTGGATACAACTGATTCGCCTGATAAGGGCAATGCTGCTGATGCAGTGGTGGATGATACAGTGGATAGTAAGATGAGACTGGCAATGGGCCAGCCGGGTATTGGGGTATGTAACTCGCACCTGTGTGAATGTATCGCACTTCTTGTTGCTGTTGCTTCAGATCTGGTTGGTGTGATAATTGATACCCAGAGACACGAATTGTTCTCATCATCTGAGTCACAGATGACGGATCAAAGAGGATGCTCTCTGAGTCAAAAGCGTTAGAAGAAACCCCCGAAGCAACAGGAACGAGAGATTCTTGGAAAATACCAGTTTTGGAGAGAGAAGCAGCACTTGCGACACTATAATCACTGTCAAAGTTTAAACATGAGTCAGTAATCAAAATGAATTATCAGACAAAAGAACTTGAGCCACATATATCCAAGCTAGAACTCACTATTACAATAGAAAGGAAATGTTATGAGACCTCTACATGTTGCACCCTTAAAAATTAAGGACGCAAAAACAAGACACCAAAATAAAATATCTAAGTCTCCACCAGAATTATACTAGATTAAAATTAGCTCAATTTCCTGTTTTATTGGGTCTCAAACCATCTAGAAATCAAGTTTTAGTTTCTACTGTTTTCCTTCATTTTCCCAGCAAGCATTTAGAGTGTTCAGACGAATGCCTATTTAATATTACATCTATAAAGTTGAATTATCAACTTATAAATGCACAACAACAATCAAAATTAATCTAATTTTTATTAATTTTGACCCAATCGTATAACATTAATCTGGAAAAAAAAATTCCTGATAAAAAACATTATCTTCTCTGCATGGTCCATAACTCAACTAACACATTCTTCAATAACAAACAATCGCACTAATTCATACCTAGATCTCTTTTCTCTATCCCCTGCAATTTTTTATTTTTCCTCCGTTCACTTCAATTTTAAATTGCATAATTAAAGAAAATAAAAGAAAAAATAAATTACTAGTTTAAATATAAATATTGCACAATCAATGTTCAAATTTTGGTATTGCAGGAAGTTTGATCCTCAACTTATAAAAACACAACAACGGTTAAAATTGATCTAATTTTCATCTAATTTGATTCAATGGTACAAAATTCATCACAAAATATTTTTTCCATTCAAAAACATCTTCTCTGCACATATCCTAATATCAAACAACTATACTAACACACTATTCAATTCCAAGCAATCCCACTAATTCACTTACTTTTCTCTTATTTTATCTCTATTCATTTCAATTTTAAATTGTGTAACAAAAAAAAAAAGAAAAGAAAAAATAAATTATTATTTAAAATATAAATATTGCACAATTAATGTTCAATATTTGAGATTGTAGAGTGTCTTCATCCATGAGATTATTACTAACAGAAACTAAAATACAAATGCACTTGTATGGGTGATTTCTTACACAACATTGAGATAAAGGCACTTTATCTCACACTCCAAGGTTGCTATCGAATTTGGGGACAACGAAAACCTAAGTATCACGAAGAAGGGTTAGAAGGGACGCCGGACGTGCCTCCAACAATTCCCCTCTGATGTTTAAGTCAGTCTTTGACGAGAGAAGAAGACAATGTTCAATGTAGGGTTGTGAGAACGTATCGTCTGTTTTTGCTTAGGAGTGCTATTTATACTTCCTAGTGGACGAGTGCGCAAGTCGAGATCATCCGTATGATCCTCTTTGGCGGGAGGGCTCCTGATTGGCTCATAATGAATATCTCTTTGACATCATCAGGCAGCTGGGCATCGAGCAAGGCGCCCCTTTGACCCTGATACTCGATCCCTTACAGGCATGTTAATTCGACATGCATTAGTGACATTAACTCCTCGACATCCAAATACTTGCCGATCATTAAACACCCGTGCCGAGCATTCACTGCGAAATTTGACGTCAAGCAACACACTCTGCGGGAATAAATGTCCGACATCCTAGTGTGTTGACTGTCGAGGGATCATTGCCCTCCCTATCCTTGGCCCCTGAGCATTAAACGCCTATGACTCGCTTGTCGCATGCTCATGAAGAGCACTAATTACATCCTTAAAAACCTCTTCTATGATTGGTCACAATGATTCTGCTAGATCTAACAACATGGGACAGCAGGCCCACGCCATTTGACAGATATTCCTTCGTTTATTCCCAAGTGGGCATTCCTGGTGCAAAGCTAGCTATCTTGCAACATGCCGCCAGACGTGGTTGGCGTGTAAAGTTAATTGTTCCTCACCCCTATCAGCCTATTCTCCATCAATATTTCTACTCTCTCGGTCTCAACAATCTTCTGTATACACCGAGAAGATTTGTCATCGACGTTCATGGTAACACCGAAGAGACCCTAGTGTATTTGTTGTAACAATGTCGAGGATAACATCGCTCGGCATAAAATTCCCAAAAGCCCTTTGTAGGCACCGAGGGGATCTTAGCGCTCATCTCCCCTAACAAATCTACGAGGTCAAGCATATCATATCACGCGAATCATTACTTCTACCATTATTGACAGAATGCGCCAAGTGTTTACTTTTGATTGGTCTCACAGACCACGTCGCATCAACTGCTCTCCAGCCTTTCAAGTACGCTGAGGAAGTAAGGTCCTAAGAATGCCTTCGATAGAATTTATGATCAGGAGATACCTAGAACCTTAGAGAATCCTCGGTCTATAGCAAGGTTTTGAAAATCGGTCGTTACGATGCATAACGGCTGTTACGTAATGATAACGTTGAGCTCCGATCCTGTTACACCCCAATATAGCGGATAGAATGAATTTCACAACCATAACAACCATTACGAACCCGTAACGGCCCCGAAACGGTCGTAACGGACGATACGAGCAAAATCGAGCTAATTTGACTCATTACAACTCGAAAATCGATTTAAGGTCCCTTCCATCAGAAACCCAGATTCAGTCGATTTCTTCATCATATTCCTTCACTTAGATCAAAATCTACACACAACCAAACATAAAAAATCCTTTGCATAGATACAAAGAAGGTATTAAACTCACCTGTACATTCCAGATCTTGATTCTTGAGGTTGTTTTATGATCTTTATTTGTGTCGAACTATCGAAAGACTCGAAACCACAACTGTCGAACGATTGTTGAGGTTGCTTTCGGATCTTGCATTTTGGATTTGTGCTCAATGCTTATGTTGATCAGTGGAAGACGCATCGAATGGCCAGATCTCCAAGCCTCCGCCCCTTTTGGGTTTTTTTGGAGACATGATCTGCTGCTTTATTTTATTATTTGGTTAAATCTTTTTGCTACTTTACTAATTATTGTAATGGAGTTTTTGTGGGTCTCAAAATTAACTAATTTTACTAGTTCATTAATTATTTTAATGAAGGTTATATGGGTCTCCCAATTTAAGAAATACTTTAAATACTTCTAATATTTTATTATCATGCTTATAATATAATAAAATGCACTAGAAATCATTAAACACTTTTTGTATGATTTTAGAATTGAAACATATAAATATTCATGTTTTATAGATGGCTGAGTCAAAAAAAAATATTCATGCTTCCAATTTCTGTTATTATTACATAATGCCCGTTTCACCCCGCGTCTGTTACACCGTTACTATTCTCGTTACAGCGACCATTATCGTTATCCATCTAGCTAGAAACAACTTCTATACCGACCGAAAGGCCCTCAGCCTCACCCAATATGCTCAAGATCAAAAGATGTTCCACAGTTATCCTCCTTATAACCTTAGTTTTGAGGGCAGAGGCAAGGGATGCAAGGGACTTTGTGGGGGTTTTTTGAGGCTCCAAAGCCGAGGCGTATTGCTTGCCCCGTGACGCCCCCGTGTTGAGAGATCAAGGTCATGCCGAAGGAAGCCATGTGAACACGTCTATCCTGTCGTGGAAGCTATTATCTCCTGCTCCGTTGTGGTATCAAGGATCCCATAAGAAAAAACTTATTGAGATCCAAATATATTGTACTCTAATCATCGGGGTCGGGCTAGTTCTCCTTGGAGGCGACTCCTGCCTTTACAGATGAAGCTTGATCTCCACAGATCTACATGATCCAGAGTGTCAAATTTTAGCTTATGTTGTACAAGGAATGCACAGCTTTGAGTGCATGCAGTCATGTCCTCCCCATAATCGCATTGTACGAGGAATTGGAGTTGATAACCACGAACTCTGTCAACAGAATGATAGATCCCATCTTGACTGGTAAGGTGATGTTATCGAAGGAAAGGGCATACGATCCATTGAAGCCAACGAGATGAGCTTTCACCACAGTGATGTCCTAGGGGCCGAGACCCATCTTATGCAGCATGTTTTGATACATGACCTCAGATGAACTCCCCAGAGTCAATCAATATGCACCTTAAGTCAAAACTTGATATGCAAAAAATGACAATTAGCGCGTCCCTATGAAGAAATACTACTCTAGCTAAGTCGGCATCCGAGAAAGTAATGTCAACCCTTTCCCCTCGAGCCTTCTTGGCTGGTTGTACTTACGCCTTGTTCTCTGTTTTTCATACCATTGCCACCCTGTTCAGGTCCGCTTGAAATGTATTGGTGGTCGGTCGTTCTAGGGGCATGGATGGATTACATCGATTACCATCAATTTCCTTCTGTCCCAACCACTCGGTCCCCCTCCTTGGAACTATCCTGATCGATGAACTCATCGAGGTGCCCCTCCACTACCAACCTTTCTAGAAACGACGTCAGGATTATGAAGATGGCACAATCTCACCTTTTTTACTCTACCCTCCCAACGAGACTCTTCTTTCTTCATCAGGGCTGAAATCTTGTCCCTAGGTATCCCTAAATTGTCTTTCACCTAGGTGAATTTGTCAATAGGAACCATGTCCTCTCCGTCAGATCGGTGTCCTCCAGGCTCATGAGAACACCCGACACCATAGTTATCAAATCATGTATCGGAAGGTGTATCGTTTTTTAAAAATAATGTATCGTATCGTATATCGTATTGTGTATCGTAAGATACAGCGTAATTTTAAATAATTAATTATAAAATATATATGCTTTTGAAAAAAAACATAGACTCATAAAAACCTAACATTTCATTAATATTCTATTTACTATTCAAGTCACCAATATAATTTACTAATATTAAAAATATAATAAAGGGTATCAAATTAAATTAATGATACTTATGTATACTTAAAAATAAAAAATTATAATGTAGGGGTATTAAATGTAATTCTTCATTCTTATAACAAAAAAAACACAGTCGTGTGTCTACCCAGTACCCACGACTCACGAATGAACACAGAGAGCCAGAGAGAAGAGGCAAAAGGCAATCGGCGATCACAATGCCGATGCCGGAGAGAGAGAGAGGGGGGAAGAAGTTGCGTCTTATGCCAACGCCTTTTGCAAAAAAGGTAAAACCCTCTTTGGACCCATCCTTTTTACTTCACGAGAGACGTCGATAGAGATCATCGTCTATTAGATGACTGGTCCTCTTTCTTGGGGCATAAGTTTCCCAAGCTCATGGGCGAGCCGGTTTGGGGTTTTTTAGAATTTTTTGCCTTTTGAGCAAGGTGATGTCAGATATCATTCCATCTTAGTCTGTCTTGGCAAGGTTTGGTCCTGGAGCGACTGAGGGTCCTTAATCCTCCGAAACATCTAAATTGATCTACGATGTACAACACGTTGACGTTGTCCTTTTCGATTTGTTCAAACCGACCTTCCAACCATTCTTTTATAAGATCCACCAACTCATAGGCAAGGGGTTCATTCTTACCTCCCACAAGGTTGGGTACAGTGTGCTCAGATTATTACCTTGAGTGGCTGTTCCTGGCTAGCGACTTAGTCCTAGCTCAAGTTGTCAATATGGTGCACTGACTTGGACATCAATACATCTGGGAGGGGATTGGCATTTTACTGGTGACATGGGTTCTCATCCACAGTCTCTTGATCAAGTGTTAACCATCATGGTGGCTATAGGTAAATTCTTGGCTTTCCCACAAATAGCGTCAAATTGTGCGGGTGATTTTTTGCACAATATTGAAATAGCAACACTTTGGCTGACATTCGAATGTTGCTCTCGATTTTGGGGATGACAAAAACCTGAGGATCACGAAGAAGGATTAGAAGGGAGGCTGAAGGTGTCTCCGGCAATTCCCCTCCGATTCTTAAGTTAGTTTCTAAAGAGGGAAGAAGACAATGTTCAATGCAGGGTTGTTAGAGCATACCGTATGTTTTTGCTTAAGAGTGTTATTTATACTTTCTTGGTGGACGAATGTGTCTGTTGAAGATATGTGTACAATCCTCTTTGGTTAAAGGGCCCTGTGATTGGCTCATAGTGGATGTCTCTTGTTGAGCATCGAGTAAAGCACCCCTTTGACCTCGATACTTGATCCCTTGCAAGCATATTAATCCAGCATGCATTAATGACATTAACCACTCGACATCCGAATATTTGCCGATCATTAATACTTGTACCAAGCATTCGCTGTGAGATTTAACATTAAGCCACACGCTCTATGGGAGTAAATGTTAGGCATCACATAGTGCGTCAAAGGATCAATGCCCTCCCTGTCCCTGGCCCCCAACATTAAATGCCTATGACCACAGAGCATGTTGCTTAACGTTAAATCTCATAGGGAATGCTCGGTACGAGTATTAATGATCGGCAAGTATTCAGCATCACATAGTGCATCGAAGGATCAACGCCCTCCGTGTCCTTGGCCCTCAACATTAAATGCCTATGACTTGCTTATCGTATGCTCATGAAGAGCATTAATTGCATCCTTAAAAGACCTCTTCCATGATTGGTCTCAATGATCCTGCTGGATCTAACAACATGGGATAATGGACCCACGCATCTGATAGATATTCCTTCATCTTGTTCCCAAGTGAGCATTTCCAGTAAAACGCTAGTTGTCTTCCAACATGCTGACTAACGTGGTCGGCATGTAAAGTCAATTGTTCCTCACCCCCACCGGCATATTCTCCAGCGATATTTCAACCTTCTTGGTCTAAACAATCTTTGGTATGCGCCAAGAAGATCCGTCGTCGACTTTCATGGTAACGCTAGAGAAACCCTAGTGCATTTCTTGTGACAATACCGAGTGCAGCATTGCTCGGTATGAAATTCTGATAAGTCCTTAATAGGCACCGAGGGGATCTTAGCGCTCATCTCCCCTGACAAAGGCCAAGCATATCATATTACGTGAATCATTACTTCTACCATTATTGACAGAATGCGACACGTGTCTACTTTTAGTTGGCCTCACAAACCACGTCACATCAGCTTTCCACGAAAATTTTGAATCTCATGCTCTCTGTTCTTCTTCTTACTTGACAACAATAAATACTCGCCAATATAGCCAGATAATTTCATAGTGCTTAACTAAGTATAAATTTATTTATAAATGATATGAATAAATATCCAACCTTTTTCCTACAGTTTTCTCAGCAACCAAACAGAAAAAGAAAATTCAACACTCCAATTACATAACCATTGAAAACCCAAAAAAAGTAGCTTCCAATCGAGCCCAGCAAAACAAGAAATATTTTCTCAAATTCACTCCAAGCTACAAGAACTCTACTAAGTAATGCAGACAAATTAAAAAATTCAGAAATAACTGTGTTTGGCTCGTGTTTTCTGGTATTTAGTTTTCCAAAAGCCACAACTAATACCAAGTAACTGGATTTTGCACAATTAAGCAGACAACGAGTTCTACTTAACTAAAACAAAAATCCAATCTTCCCTGATCCAACATTTTCTCGGCAACCAAACAGATGCAACAATAAAAAGCCAAGAAATGTACCTCTCAATTGGACCCGGTGAAGCAACTTTAACCTTCGTATCCTGCAAATTAACAACACCATCCTCACCATGAGCGCCAATCGGAGGCAAATTCGACATCGAGGCTGAAGAAGTTGTCGACCCAAAAGAAGAACTAGTCTCCAAAACCATGGATTCCGGCATAGAAGAACTACCCAACTCCAAACCGCTCCTACCTTCACCACTCTCCACTTGACACTCCCCAGATGAATCCGAAAAACCCAAACAATCTAGACCTGAATCGTCATTTCGTCCCTTTTGATTAATCCTCGTGCTCTTCAATGCATCAGAAAACCAAGACTCAGCTTTGAGGTCAAGAAGAACCGATCTCAGAGATTCAGATTTGACAGGGAAGAGGAATAATCTGACGCGGGAGTGTGTAGGGGAGCCTACAACGCTATCGTGCTCTTCTAGCATGTTGTGGAGGTCTTCGTCGGTGGTGACGGAGATGAGAGATTCGAGGTCTTCATTTGGGAGCTGGTACTTAAGGTGGAAAGGCGGTTGTTGTAGAGAGTGCAGGAGAGATGGGAAACGAGGGAGGAGAGAGAGGAGGCGGTGGTGCGGCGGTCCACGGAGACGATACGGGTGTCGCCGCCTGAGTAATAAAGTGACTTGTCGTGTGGGCGGGGGATTATGTGTCCGCCGTAGCTGCACATTAGACGGATCTTGGTTGTGGGCAGAGGTGGAAGTGGTGGGTCAGTGGTGGTGGTGGTGGTGGTGGTGGTGGTGGTGGAAAGGAGTGGCGTATGTGCTGGGTCCATGAGGAGGGACCAGAGGGGGTGGCGGGGGTGGCGGGGGTGGGGGGGATCTGCGCTGGAGGCGTTTGGAGAGAGAATCGCAGTGGGAAAGAGAGAGGCTTTATAAGGGGTTTTTGGTGGTGATGAGTAACGAGGGTGTAAAGTTTCTTTCTTTTTCTATGCCAATTTACGGTGGAATTTTAATTTGATCATTTTAAGTTCAATTGCAATTTGCAAATCTCAATTCTGTTTTAATTGCAATTTCAGTTCAATTTTTTTATTTAAACTTGCATATTTAATAGGATAAATTATACTTTGTATTTTAAAAGATTTAAGAAATTAAAATTATTACAATTCAGTCTTTCTATGAGCTTCTCTTGATCATCTCCTCAACATTAATAAAATAATTTTTTGACTAAATAAATAGTTAAAATTAACAAAAAAAATTATATTATAATATTTTTAATATATTTGAGGTTATTATATGAAATTTTTAATTTTTAAAGATTTAAAATAAAAAATTTTAAAATTATAATTTACAGATGTAACTTGTTTGAAAGGGAATGGGCGGGCATATGACAAAAAAAAATGATTAATTGCAAATTATACCCTAAAATATCATTCGAATCTTAATTTGTATCCTCAAATATCAAAAATTTTAATTTACACATTCAAAGATAGAAATTTGTATCAATGTGCACCCTCAAAGATCAAAAATCTCAATTTACACACTCAAAAATAAAAATTTGTATCAATGTACACCTTAAACTAAATTGATAAATTATACCTAGATCCCTTTATGTTTGTTACTTAATCATTTGGACTCATTCACATTAAGATATTACTCATACATCTTATGACGTTTGTACACTTGTAACACTTAACCGCTTTTCGTTGATATCTGTTAATATAACCGTTAAAAAATATGATTTTATCCTAATATAAAATTATAATTTCATATTACCCTTTATTTTATGGGTCTAATATACTTTAAAATTCAAAATCAAGCTTACCATTTAAATGTCTCATAGAATAAAGGGTTGCACATTGAGTGATATATTGCATTAGATATAAAAAAATATTATATAAATATCTACATTATATTTGACATTCAAATGGTAAGCTTGATTTTAAACTTTAGATTATATCGGACCCACAAAATAAAGGGTAATATGAAATTATAATTTTTATTAGGATAAAATCATATTTTTTTTAATGGTTATATTAACATATATCAACGAAAATGGGTTATGTGTTACACGTGCACAAATGTTATGAGATGTAGAAGTAATATTTTAAATGTGAAAGGGTCCAAATGATTAAGTGACAAACATAAGGGGATATAGGTATAATTTATCAATTTAATTTTAAGTACACATTGATACAAATTTCTATTTTTGAGGGTGTAAATTGAAATTTTTTATCTTTAAGGGTGCACATTAATACAAATTTTTATCTTTGAAGGTATAAATTAAAATTTTTGATCTTTAAGGATATAAATTAAGATTCGAACTATCTTTCGGAATGTAACTTACAATTAACCCAAAAATAAACGCAGGTTACAATACTAGGTGAGATTGAAATTTTTGAAAGACAATTGTTCAAATTAGAACTTGAGCTACCAAGTTAGAACCAATGTTATTAGAATTGGATCGATCATCAAATCGATAAAGGAATTGGGTCAATAGTTCATTGGTTCAACCGTTGAGTCAACTTGTCGGATTGGCCATATAATAAAAATATATATATAAATTATAAAAAAATAATAATTTAGATAAAAAAATATAAAATATGTTTATAATGCATACAATTTACCATAAATTTAATGAGGCCAAATATCAAATCAATATTCATAAAATTCACAATATCAATCTTAATCTCAATCTAAATAAAATTCACAATCTCAATCTCAATAATCTTAATCTTAATCTTAATCTCAATAAAATTCAATCTCAATCACATCAAAATTCACAATCTCAAATAAAAATTACCACAAATCTTTATCATCTAAAAACTCGAAAACATGGCATATATATAGAATACGAATACTTGTCGCTTGGACCGAGTCGAAGACAGAGAGAGAGTGGTAGAGAGACAATGGGCTTACTGTTTGTTGCCTAGAATGGAGAAGGAGATTGCAGTCTAAGGGCCTTCGCTACCTATTCGTCACCTGGAGAATGAAGAAGAAGACTGGAACTGGACTCTTGGGTCTTGGAAGTTGAAAAAGAGGAGTTGAGTGAGAGAGTTTGAGTTGAAGTAAACTAGCAAAGAGATGTTCGTCGTTGAGGCAAAAGAGAGGCTAAGTGAGAGAGTTCGAGTTGAAGCAGACTAGTAAAGAGATGATCGTCGTTGAAGTAAAGATCGAGTTGAAGATGAAGACGAACCAGATGAGTCCTGTACTCTTGTTCGTTGAAGCAGATGACCCCTTCTATTCCTTGAAGTAGATGAGGAAGATGAAAATCTTTAGTCTAGAACGGAGACTTAGACGAAGGAAAAATGAAAATTGTAAATGTAGAAATGAGATTTAGGGCAAAATTGCCCAAAATAGATATTTTTTTTTTATAACAATTGCAATCTAATCGACCGGTTCACTGGTTTTAACAAAAATTGGCCAGTTTAATGGTTAACAGTAGTCGATTCACTTGCTTTTCAGGAACTAGACCGATCTAAGTTCTGATTCATTGTCTTACAGGTCGAATTGGTTAGTCCATTCTAGTTCTGATAACAGTGGTTAAAACCTGCCTACTTGAAGATTATTAAATCATAAATTAGATGAATCACAATTTACACATCAAAAGATTAAAATTTTTTTAATTTGCACTCGTAATGATTAATTTTTCACATTGCATCATCAATATCAAAAAATAGTTGTAATGTGCCCTCACATTAACTTATGTTATACATTCCGTCACATTTTCTATGTGAACTCCACACTAACTACAGTGAGATTTGACAAAAATTTCAACGAAAATCTGTGTAAGGGTCACATAACAATCATTTTATGACATTGCAGATACAATGTGAAAAAAATTAATTTTTCAGAGTGCAAATTAAAAAAATTTAATTTTTTAAGGTGCAAAGTACCATTCACCCAAGTAAATTATCCTCTTTTAAATCAAAAAACCATACTATTGAATGTACACAGGATACAAAATTTCACAAAGATGAACAAATAAATAATTACTAGTTATTGTTCATGCATAAATGCACGAAGTAAAACAAAATGATTAATAATAAACATATTTATACTCACACCCAAAATCAAATCACAAACATATAACAGAGAGAAAAAAATTAATTATTGCTTGTAGTGAAGGGTGAGTGGTAATGGGCAGCAATGGTGGTGGTGGGAGACGATGATGGTTGTGGTGGGATAGTGGCAGCTGTGGTTGGTAATAGAGATAGTGGTGGTGGATTTTGGGTGACGATAGTGATAGTGACGACATACATGAATGACGACGGGAGGTAATGGTGGGTGTGGGTGATGGTGGACAACTGTGATAGTTGTTGATAGTGTACGGGGCAATGACGGTGGTGGTGGTGGACGATGACGGTTGCTTTTGAGCGACAGTGTGATGGGTGGTGGCAGTAGGTGTGGTAGGGGTGTATAACGACAAATGGTGGTGGTAGCTGCAAGTGATGGGTGACAATGGTAGTGGGATGAAGGTGATAATGGTAATAAATATAAAAATGAGATAACGATGATGGTGGATGGTGACGGTGGACGACAACGGTAACAATCAGTGGGGGAGTAGCGACGGTGATGGTGGTGGGGGGAAGGTGGGGCAATGTCGGTTGTGGGGGGGGGGGGCAGTGGGGTAACGTTGGTGAGGGTGGCAACAGTGATGGGGCGGTGGTGATAGTGATAGTTGTTGTGGGAGAGGTAGTTGTGAGATAGCGACAGTGGTGACAGTGATGATGGTGATGAGAATGGTGGTGGAGGTAGTGTTGGTGGTAATAGGGTGACAACAACAGTGGTGGCAGTGGGGGTGGTGGTGATTGTTATGGTAGCGATAGCGGTGGCAGTGGCGGTGGCGGTGGTGAAGTAGTTCCAAATGCTATTTTTTTTTAAAGTATTTATGAGAAGTTATAAGTGTTAAATTTACTTTTAAAAAGTCATCTCAAACACACCCTTAGAGACCTATTTTTCTTATTAAATTTAAGGTATTAATATTAGCCGTCTGATTAATTTTAAAATAAAATTTAAAAATATCTTAAATACGAAAAAAAATATTTTATTTATTTTTGAGATTTGAATTGTATTATACTTTACTATATAGATTTCCCAATTTTGATAAGTAAAGATCACTTGATAACCTGGTTAGAGGAATTTTGAGAGAATTACTAAAGATTAACCTTTTTTTTAAAAAAAAAAAATCGCTAACTAGACTAGACCATTTGGTATATTGTTTTCTTAATTACGAGGGAAAATCAAAAATAAGGAAACGTAAAAAAATTCGGGGGTTTTTTTTCATACAGTGAGTAGTATGATCACCAAATCCAGTGTCATCATTATAAAAGAAATTGTATTAAGTACTACAATCTTCTGAAAATAGGTGCAGGGGATACAAATATTTTCCAAGAATTAGGTTTTTGGTGCCTAATTAAGCAATTTTTTTTTTTAAAGCACACATAAGGGGATTCGTAGTATTTTAAAAAAAAGTGGGAATCACACTTTGACCCTTTAACTATGACCCTTCTTTCACTTAGCCCCAACTATCATGTTTTTTATATTGTACATTCAATTACATGATTAGTTTCACATTTTCTCAATTATTAGCATATATTAGATATTTAATATAAAGTTATTTTATTTTGCCGCTGAACTATATAATATATTTTACTTTAT